TTTTTAAATCATCTTGCAATTTTACGCATAATTCATCGAAACTCCTAATGGACATTCGAAAATAATTAAAAAATTTGGAGCTATCCTCTCGTAGCTCATGAAATAATGTTACAAGTTCACCCATCAATTGTCTGTTTTCAAGTAGTGGATGAATCCAAAATCTTCTTGTTTTTTGTGTTTTTCTGCGATTATACCATATTATTAGTAACAACATGCGTTTTTTTCTTTCGTCCATTTTGGTCATGTATCAAAACAAAACTAAACCGTGAAAAACCGTGTGCAGTGTGAACGCAAAGCAAAATGAAATTACGGCACGGCACGGCACGGTTGTCGTTAGAAAACCGTCTGTGTGAAAGCAGGGTTAGTCGAGAAATACTTTATGTAAAGCCTGAAAAGGTGGCAACCCTAGTTACATTACATTCTCGTAAGCTAATATTTCAAAAATTAAGTGAGGGACTATAGAAATAACCTTGAAATTTAAAATTATGAAGAAGAGGAAAAGTAGGAAATGTCGACTTGGAAAAATTAAAATATAACAATACATGTGATAGGCTAGATAGGTCACACGAAATACTAGAGAAAGTGGAAGAAGTTACTGATAAAGTTGTCCAGAAAAAATGGAACTGCATTAAAACTTTTCTAAATTTCGCAGTTAGAGATAGGTATATGTACGTGTATCAAGTCTTAATCAAAACGAGATCAGAAAAACTTGGATATAATACAAAAGCAGGACAGATAAATAAGGGCGGAAATGGGATGAGGCAGCTGAGAAACAATAGATATAATAGGTGTAAAAAGTAAATGAAAAGATTGAAATAGGTAAAACTGATGAGACTTGTAATATATGAAATAAAAGTAATTTTAGAGTTTAGAGAAGTAGGGTAAAGTAGTAATAATATGAGAAAGTTGTTAAAGGTCGTCTTGATGGTGTAAAAAATATTTAAGATCCTTAAAATCAAGAATTACAAGACGTATTAGAGAAACAAGATAGTGTAAAGATAGATAAATTAGCATTAAAAAATTAAAGAATAATAAAGCACCAACTCTCTATGCGTAGAAAAATCATAACTACAATCGTCCAGAGAAGGATAGAAAAAATAAGGAATACGTAATTACTTTAACCGCTTAGCTTTACGGGTAAAACAAATAGTAGGGAAAACGATAGAAAAGGGAAAGAGCCCATATATATATATATATAGGAAAAGATGCTAAATATATTTAAAAATGTATAAGGATGATACACATACAGGGATAGAAGAGCAATATACAATTTATCTATTGCCCCTATTGCAATTATATTTGAGCAGCAACATAGAGAAGTAAATATTAGGTACTGGGAAGGAAGAGACAGGAATTTATATTATTAAAAAAGCATGGATTATATATTTTATCATTAGTGCAGGAGAAAGTGTACTTATATTACATAATTTAAAATAAAAAATACATTTGAAAGGTGACGCATTTATAAAAAAAGGTAAAGGGTATCAACTTCCCAATTTTTAATAGAATTGGACATAACTCTTGAGTGACTCAAAAAGAGGACATCCAAAATTGAAACAGTATACATTAAACAAAGTATCTACTTCTGCTTAATTCGTTGAAAATTTTGCAACCTGCTGTGTATCTAGGATTAAATTTACTTCTTAGTGCTTATCAGCTCATATTGTAATTTTTGTGTTAAATCAGTTTTTGTTTTTCAACTTCTAGCTCAGCTGTTGTAACTACTTGAACACACTGGTAAGATCTATATTGTAAATAGTTGTTTGGATGTTATCACGTATATTACTAAATTGTTAATAATGACACATACCTGTCAATATTTGCTTTGACAACGAGAGCGTCTAATTACTGACACAATAACGATTTAAAACCGGAAATACAAATATTTCCAACACAAATGTAACGTTTTCGTAAGTTCTCGTGTAATAATCTGCTTAAATGACTCTTCACATTAAATGTTTCAATGATATGTCATACATAAAAAGACGAAAGATAAAATTTTTGCGAAAATGTGATTAGGTAGTAGAATTTTATTATCAAAGGTAGATACATAAATTGAAGACCGTTTAACAAACAAAAGATAAATTAACAAGGGAGATAATACATAGTTTTTCATGAATATCCGTCTATAAGAGCTAAGTTATTATTTTGACTACGCCGTGCTGATGAGCACCAAAGAGTTCGAAATCGTGATCCATAATTTATATACAATATCCAATCCGATGGGACTTGAACCTTGACGAAACTCTTGTACAAACTAGAGTGAGTGGATCGGCTTGTGAGTTTCAATGGTTTAAGGAATCGAACCATAGATTCAACCATTATGGGGAGTCCTTAAAGAGAAACCAGACTAAGACAAGTCCCTGAAGGAGGGCAGCAGCTCTTGCAGTACTCAGGGTGTCAGTCATGAGGATAGATATGGCACAATACTGGGATGTGGAAGGCAATGGAAAACCACCACATTGTGATCTCGAGTAAAACGTATAGCTACAGAAATTAAATGATGACGTCCTCTGGGGTAAAGGACTTCGGACGTAAACTAGTCCCCTATTCGGACGTTCGGGCGGGGACTATCTCGGAAAATGTCATCAATAAGTGTAATAGGGGAAGGTGAATATTTCACGAGTCGGAGCGTGGAATGTTGGGATAATGAGGCAAGTAGGGAAATTGGAAAATTTGAAAGTTGAGATGAATAGATTAGAATTAGATGTAGTAGGCATTTTAGTGAAGTCCGTTGGACCGAAGCTGGAGACTTCTGGAGTGGACACTTTACAATAATATAGTACATACATGATCTGTGGAAGGTAATTCGGGGGCAGGAATTGTAATGCGTAGGAAACCAGGCCAGAGCGCAGAAAGTTATTTACAAAAAAAGAGATAGGATAGTTATGGTTAAATTAAATCTGAAGCCAATAAAAACGCTATTAGTGCAGGTCTACATGTCTACATCATCTTACAATGATCAAAACGTAGAAACGGTTTATGAAGATATAGAAGACGTGTTAAGTTCAGTAAAAGGGCAAGAAACCTAATAGTTGTAAGAGACTTCAACGCCCAAGTCCCAGGGGATTATAAACGGAACGTGGAAGACATTTAGAACAATTAGCTTAACTTCCCATGCGTCAAAAATCTTAACTAGAATTGTACATAGGAGAATTGAAAAAAGGACGGAATAACTATTAAGGGAAGATCAATTTACGTTAGAAGCGTTGGAAATGTGGTGTTACAGGCGAATGATGAGGATACCGTGGATAGAAAAGGTTAGAAATGAAGAGGTATTAGGAAGAATAGGAGAATAGAGGACTCTATGAAAGTCAATAAGAAGAAGTCAGCAACAAAGTGAAATGAAAATTTAGAATAGCGCAAACCGATACAGTGACCAACTATCAATTCTCATTTGAGCTATTGATTATAAGCAATGATTGTGGATTCAGTCAATGTCCTACTAGAAAAGGACCTTGCTGTATATTAACGAATCTCTTAATAAGTAGCAAATATCTACCAGATAGCGTTCACTACGATGTCTGTACTTATTTTGCTAACTAATTTAAAGGGGTATTTTTAATACAAACTGTAATTTTTCATTTCAACATCAATTGGAATATCATTTCTAATAGTTTCGCAAATTTACTATTCGAATCAACACTAAAAATCCGAGTAATTATAATAACAAATTAGGACATGACGTCATATTTCTATTGCTATTTCTGTATGTGTCCCTATGTATGTATATACTAATTTGTACAATGTTAGTCTACAATTCAGAAGGATTCAAAGGATTAATACATTTAACGGTTAACCAACAAAATTTAAATTGGATGAACCACTTACTGTTCTTTATTTCCTCCTCAAGTAGTTTAACTTTGCCGGACCTTTTAATTAGGGACATGTCCTTGCTATCGAAGGAATCAATTGCCACGCCTGAAACGAAAGTTTATCTTTAGTGATTAAAGCTTGATTCCAACTATGCCAGTAGCAGCCCGTATCCGTAAGATGGCGGCCAGCAGCCGCCCGCATCCGCAATATGGCGGCCAGCAGCCGCACGCGTTCGTAATATGTGTATTTACCACCACATAGCATCAATTCATATTTACCTGCTGAATCATATCCTCTATATTCCAATCGTTTGAGACCCTTAACCAAAAGTTCAAGTATTTCCTTTCGCTTCTTGGGAGTAAGATAATTGAGATACGCAAAAATCCCTGCAACAAATAAAAATAACATTATTGAGATAAGATTAAGATTAAAAGTGAAGTAATCGATAATTATAACCGTACTTTTTAAAATACGCATTATACTCCTACTGATTTTTTTTAAGTGGATAAAACTGGCAATTTCTATTTACAGAGTTAGCCGTAATTAGAGATGAAACGATAACGTATGGGTATCAATACTTTTACTTTAGCGAGAGAAATATCGATACCAGTTCGATATTGAATTTTTTTTAGTACCCACATAAGTGCCAGCTAGTCGGCATGAGTTATTCAAAAAGATTCATTTATTTATATTTTATTAATTTATTTTATTGCTTTTGTATATCTTTTTTAAATTAGAAATTGACAGCTCTTGAAGGCGCATATAACTACGAACTACAATACATTGAAATATGATTTATCTAAATGAAGTAATTTCTCAGATTGTGACTTTAGCGAGTCCATGAAGCTTTTATTTTATTCACTGTACGTAATTATTTTTTTGTTAAAAAATAAGGAGTTACCGGTAACAAGTTCAACTAATCAAGGAAAAAATGCAGAAGTTAGCCTTAACTGTCTCTCTGTCTGGTTTCAATAAGTGAAAGGGGCTTACCGTTAGCAATGGTGAAGGTTATATTCTAATCATAATAAACAAGAAGGTAGATAAAAAAATACGAAATTCAGTGCAATTTTAAATTTAAATCGGGCATGTACCTGTTCGCAAAAGACACATTCATATTTACAAATTTACGAGTACCAAAAGGCCATAAAATTTAATTATTTTTCAAAAACATGGTCTTAAGCAGGCCCGCCGCTAGACGCCTGAATGTCCTCGTGCAAAAAAAGCAATTTAGGAAAAATTTTCATGAAAAAAAAAAGTGGAACAAAACTGCCGGAAAAAAAATTTCTCGGAAAAATAGCGCCAAGAGAAAATTCCCTCTGGGAAGAAAATTTTTTTAATTATAACTTACTACTATTTAGTAACGAAATGCTGCAATTCGAATTTATATACAATACAAGAAAATGTAAGATCTCATTTAAAATAATCTTCCGGAGATTTATTTCAATGGGGCATTTGTTTTTCGAGAATTTTTACCGGGATTTCTCTTCGGTTTTTTTCTCCGGGAATTTTTTTTCTGTAAACCATGCGCCCCCTATTCTTTTTCCTCAAGTTGTACAATGTTACAAATGGATACGTAATAAATCATAAAATTAATTAAAACCATTTACTGCCTTTATAAGAAAAGGAGAAATTGAGGCCACGTAAAAATATACCACTAAAAATTATCCCAAAAAAATGTACATCTAATCTGAAAATAAAGAGTAAAAGTAATAAAAGTTGACAACATTTGATAGAATTTTATGCTTACTTTGATTGCTGTTAATGTTCAATTAAAGCAACCTTAATTTCATAAACACACAGTTTTTTAAATGTAATGTGAGCTATTTTGGTTATTTATAGTCTATAAACGTCTGAGAATGTTTACAAAACAACATTTATTTGGTGCAATTTAGGCAGTAGGTCTATCACAAGAGGGTCTAGTTCTGTTTACAGTAATTAGAGTAAGCGTTTAGGTATAGTTGGGATGTTCAAAATTGGCATAGTCCGCAATAAAACTGTCGCATTTACTTTCTTCTTTCAACATACTAACTAGACTAAAGCGATTGCTGACAACGCCTATTTTTACTCACGACGTTGTCGGGAATATCGTAAGCATAGAAAAGAGATGTCAGGTAGGAATTGCAGCGGTCACTAATAAAAAAAGGAATAACACTACACCAATTAATGTGTGACAGAAAGAGATGCAGACAAGCAGAATTTGGGCATGCTGCCAACATCGGACTTAAATTAAAGTTCAACATTCTCAGTAATTTAGGAAAGCAAAGACACTTGTTTAAAAATATAAAAACAACCAGGCAGAATAAAATCAATGAACACGCACTGCCATAGTCGAAAATGGATTTGAAGACTCTTCAATGTTCGCATAATATGAATAAATTAGACATTACAGCATCAAAACCGCAAAAATTCGCTTCAAACAATTATAAAGGTGAAAGAAGTTAAATAAATTTGAATATTTCCCTATAAAAATTCGGTGACCACAATAAATAAAAAAAAAATAATAATAATAGTGGAAAAAAACTTAAAACCGTTCTTTATTTTGAGTAAATATAATTTGTTATTATTGTTTATTATCAAGCACGGAGAGCATACATAGTTATATCATTAGAATAATTAATTTCTTTACTTAAAAGTGTAATAGTATACATCCTGTACCAAAAATATAACTGAATATTTAAGTGCTAAATTCTGAAAAGCAATTAAAAGTGTGTAGCAATATATTATCGCGAATTCTGTACTGTACTTAGTAGTATCTAAACGTTTACAATTTACTGATTAGAAGATAAATTACAGCCTATAACAACAATATTTGATTGGTGAAATAACAATTACTGAATATATCGCTGCAAACGTTTAAAATGTTTCAAAGTACTCTTCTTGGACATCCACACACTTTTGTCAGCGATTTTTTCATGCACGATATGGATCGTGGAGTGAGTCCAAAATGGATTGCTTTCATGACAGCTTTATCTTTGGAAATAAAAAGAAGTCTGCCGGAGCCAGATCAGAACTGTTAAGGAGGTTAAACAACGTTTGGCCAAGGACTCTCAGACTCGCAGAGCACTGGGCCTAGAAATGAGATGGTGTCACTTTTGCTAGTTAACGACCAACGAGACGGGGGTTATCATTCATCTCCTCCAGGTTACTTTTAAAAAACGTCAACCATCCAAGTGGTTTCTCGAAACAAGACATTATTTAATCAAACAAGTCCGAATGCGTTGAGAGCAAGAAAAGCGACCAAAAATAAATAGCAATATTTTCCGAATACGTATGTGTATACTACACTTTTTTATTATACTTATACAGAACTGTAACTGCAACTAACATTCCAATGTGCGTAGGTATCCTATCAGATCCATAATCTATGCAACAACACTAGTAAAGGGTTTTTCTGAATTAAATGTTTACAAACTGTTGGTTATCGTTATCTTTGTATCTTAAATTCAGGAGTCGCGTCGAGCTCACAATTTGTTAAATGTGTAATTCTTTGTTACTAAATCGCAAAGGGATTAAAATAGGTAATGCTTCAGAAACAGTTTACCATTTTTTTTTTGGCTTAAGTCAACACGCTCGCAGAGTAGTGGTTGCCAAAGAAGGAGTCGTAACCCCATGAGGCACTACGAGGGTAGCAGTGAATTTCCAGATTGAAACACAAAACAAAAACAATTTTTTGACAATGTTAAATGGGAGAAGATGTTAAATATACTTAAAAATGTAGGGATGAGTTATAGAGATAGAAGAGTGATACTTAGTTTGTATAAAGAGCAACAGGTAGTTATAGTGCTGAAACAGCAACGTAGAGAAGTAAATATTAGGAAGGGAGTCGGACAGAGATGCACACTGTCACCGCTACTTTTTAATCAAACACATCGAAGACGCGATTAACATCATTAAAGACAGTACAACTGTAGGGATAGATATACAGGGGTAAAAGATTAGCACGCTTAGATTGCGGAAGATATAGCAGTATTAGCATCTAACAAGGAGTTAGAGATAGCTTTAAATAAAATGCAAGCGGTATTGACAAAACAGTATTGTATGAAAATAAATAAAACTAAAACAAAAATACTGGTATGCAAGGGAAGAAAAAGTGGCTGATTTTAGGTATTTAGAAGATAAGAAGAGATAATTTAGGAGTACTATGGGAAATCCTTGTTTCAGGCCATTCAACAACGGTATTGAGCTAAACAAACTTGGGTCAATTACCTCTCTTTCCATGGAAAAATGTGAAATATATGGTACTGAAACTGTTATTTAAGTAAACACTAATGCTAAATGTAAGTATGATTATGTTACAGTGCCTAGGTGGGATATTCAAACTGAAAAATACTATAACTTTAATCTCACAATTAGAAGTAGACACAAACTGAATGAGAAACATTTGAAAATACTACAAAATCCGCCAAACAAAAAAAAAAGAATTTTGAATGTATAAATGTGGGAATAATTGACCTACAGAAAAACATATGGACCAAACTGCTTGATCTCATTTTCAAATTGTCAATAAAATATTAAGGACCTCAGGTACGTTGAAGGCCGTCGCTGACTGCATATTCGCCTTCAGCGACCCTCAAACCCCCTGAATAAACAATTTCAGTTAATTTCTAATGAATTTAAAGCGTAACTGCTGAAGCCGACGTGTATAAAGGTCGCCCTGGACCCCAGGTACCTTGAAGGCCGTTGCCAACTACATACTCGTGTTCAACAACCCCCGAGTAATTTAGACTTATTTCTATCATCATTTCCACGGTTTTTTTTATCACAACTTTGCAATGAACTTCTAACTTCTTATGCACCTATACCGAGTGACATGGCCTAGAGGTTTAGACAATTGCTTAGCATACAGGAGGACGCCGGTTCGATTCCGGGTCCGTCTGCCTTGGTCCAAGTTTTTCCATGGTTTCTTTGGATATCTTAGCAAAATGCTGGGACAGTAATATTCCCACAGATAATCTTTCATTCTGTTCTGTCTTTATTTCGCCCGTCTCATATTTCTCACCCGAACCACCACCCACCCATTCTCCAGACTCCTAAAAGGAGGCTGAAGAGGGTCTTCCGCCTTAACTTCCGGCGTAGTTTGAAGAGACTGACTGGTGGGAATAAAACACCCAAAGGTTTTTTTATGCACCAATGCATTTTTGAAGATGAATTGATCTGTTATGCGGAAAACTGCATTTCGGTTAGACTTATTGCACAAAAATTCGAAAGTTTTTTGTATTTCATTTCCTCGACTATGATGTCCATCACGTATACTCATTTTTATTTTGTTGATTTCATTTACGCCTACTACAAACTATAATTCTACTGTAATTCGATGTATGTGATTGCGCCAGTAGCAATAAATACTAATCGCAACATGTAATGCTTTAGTAACTATTTCATTAAC